AGATGAGGCGGAGGAGGACGAGTGCAAAGTCATATTTTTTAAGAGTAGAAAATGTGCAAAACTAACTATCCCAGACCCAAAATTTAACTTCTATTAGCCCTATACAGCCTATCCCTGACCCCAGTACCTAAAATTAACCATTTACCCTGATCCCTGACCAAGCGTCAATATGTTAACAAGTCGGGAGTGAGAATGTGTTAAAGTACCAGTCCTGTGAGCCTTACCTGGCTCATGGTGAGCCTTGAACTTTTAGTTAGCAGGAGGGGCCCCACTTGAGGGAGGTTCTGACAACAATGTTGTTGCACTTTCCTGCAATGACCACCACAGAATTTAAAGGAATGCTCACACAGTTTGTCATAGTTAAGACATAATCTGTTGTTGGCTTGGGACCCCAGAGCAGCTCAGGGCTCTAGGCAGTTCCCTGGTTTGCCTGCCCTGTCGCAATGGGACTGTCTACAAGGTAATGGGTGATGTACATTTCACAAAAGAATCCTAGGCCTAAATAGTGTGAGACTGATAAATTCTTGTAAAAGTTCACAGTCATGAGCGAATCAGTCCCTAGCAAAGATTTTTGTGTTGTTTATTAACTCCTACCAATTATTGACACACAGCAGCTAGACGTGGGCGTAAAATGTCACCCTTAAATGGGGGAGTTTCTTCTTTAAACAGAGAGCTAAGATTGACAGTGACATTTTTCTTGATTAAAAAATATACGTTTGCTCTTTCCAAGTAGATTTAGAAGAAAAAAATGGACTGTCTGATTGGGTCTGCTGTTACTGCTTCATTGATCTCTACGTTTCCAGACATTTTCCCCCGAGGCCTACCCAGATGGTTTTGTGTAGGAAACAATATGGCATGTCAAATGAGGTATTTGATGGATTCCACAACATCATGTATTTTATCAAGATTGTAGGGGTCTTTCTTTAATTAAAAACAGTCCCACATCATCAACGATCCAACACAACACATGTGAGGTGCTTTTCTCCGGGAGCTGTTTTCCTTTTGACAGCAAACCTCTCATTTTTGCTCTACTTTTTGTCTCAATGTGCTTTGTAGAAGATATTAGCAGTTTTAGTTACTTTTTCTGTTTTTTTACCTTTCTTGAATAGTTATATGTATGCTTTCTGATTTTATTTTCAAGACTCAAAGCTTCCAAAACTGGCTTAAAACGTGCATTAACTTGTGGTAATATTTCACACTTATCATACACTTAAACTAATTCCATCATTTGTTGTCAATTTATGCTTCATAACGTCCTCTGAAAAAGTTGAGTGTTTAATTCCCTGGCATCAGCACCTCAGTTCCCTTTAAATGTACACTTTTTTGGCTTCTTTACTGTAGAGCAAATTGACTAACCAAATCCAGTCTTTTTGTTTTAAACATGTTTTGTACAAGAGAAAAAGGGTTGATTTTCCATTTATGAATTATACACCCACGTACACCTCATTCATTTCTCAAAAAAAAAAARGRAAAAAAAACATTAAGCCAAAGCTTGAAAAACTCCTATTTAATCTGTTAAATGAAGCTTTATGCCATTTAGATATCTAGCGTTTCACAAAAGCCAGCACTTAGTTTAAGTGTTTAGGAGTAATTTATTGAGAGAATATAGAAATTTTTAAAATATATATACTGTTTTTCAGTGTGAAACTGTGTGAAAATGATTTGTGAGTTGTCTTCATTCTCCTTGACCTTTTGCCATGTGCATGGCTATGTTGTTGCTGTTGCTCACGGAAGGGGGGGTGGGGGGTGGATAAAGCTAACACATGCTCCTAAGTGCTTCTTTCACTTTTTTTTTAAATCCACGTTTCATGGCCATCACAGTTTTAGAGAAAGTGTGTGTGCGTGTGTGTGTGTGTGTGTGTGTGTGTGTGTGTGTGTGTGTGTGTG